TGATCCGTTTCTCCATTGATGCACTGAGACCATTTGAGGAAGCAACCAGAGACATATCTACTGAAAAACATGTTTCAGTTTCTAAGGTGATTCCCCTGGTGTCCCTGCTTCTCAAAAGCACTGCAAACTCTGAACGGCAAGGTAGCAAGCTAGCTGCTGAGCTGTCAGCACAATGTCTTCGTCGTTTCAGGGCTATAGAAACATTTTATGGTCTTGCTGTCAGCACCTACCTAGATATTAGATTTAAAAATCTGGCATTTCGTGACTCTTCAAATGTTGAGCCTGTAAAAGCTCGACTTGTCACTGAAATGAGTCAGACTTCAGCACCTTCAACATCTAGATTGAGCTCCAGTTCTGCACCAGCTCATGCAAATACCTCAGGCTCATCTACAGGGGCTGCTGCATGCCCACCTGAAGCAAAAGGTGGGATATGGACAGATTTTGATTCTCAAGTCCTTGCATCTCAGCAACAACAGACAACTGCCACTGATGTACTAATTGAAATGCGCAGATACACAGAAGAGAAGCTAATTCCTCGGGACCAGGATCCACTACTTTGGTGGAAAAACAATGCACCTACATTCCCCTCTCTCAGCAGACTTGCCAAAAAACACCTGAGTGTGGTTGCAACATCAGTGCCAGTTGAGAGGATTTTTTTCAAAGGCAGGGCAGTTGATAAGTCACAGGCGATGTGCAATTAAAGCAAAAAAGGTGAATATGATACTGTTTCTAAACAAAAACCTCTAATCAACATCACTGTTCTGCACAGGGGGACAGTGCCCCCGGGGGGGGGTCTTCTTAGACTATTTCTTTAGGCTAAAGGCTTTAGGAGTTGTGTATTTTTATACTTAATTTATTTATTGTTTATTTTTTTACCAACTGTTTGTTTAAATGACCTTTTCAAAGCCAGAAAATATGTGCAATGTAGGGAAGACATTGTGTTTTATTTTATTTTTGTATTATACTTGAAAAAAGAGAATTTGTTCTTTGTTTTATAAGATTTGTTTTGGAGTGATTGTTTTGTCATCTTTGTTTATTTAGGAGTATTCTACTAAAGAAGTTTTAATATTTTCGAAAGATAATTTTGTGCACTTTGTGGAAGACAAAAAGTCTGTTCTTTTGTTATTGAACAAAAACTTGTTTTATGTTAATAAAGTTCTTTCTATTTACTGTTGAACTTTGTCTGGGTTTTATTAAATTAATAATACATTTTAAAACAAAACACAAAACACAAAACACCTGAAAGTCATGAAAATGTATTTATATTTGATAATGCATTAATTGTCAAAAAGTACCATGTACCGGTATTGATATCGATATCCGCGATACTGGTCCAGTATTTACTTGGTATCGGATCGACACCAAAGCTTGCAGTATCGCCCACCACTATGTGTCACACTTCACTTTGTTTGTTGTCGTCTTCTAAATAATGCCGCGAGTGGGGCTTAAGGAAGTGACGTCGCCTGCGTCTGCGCAGTGCGACCTGATGCGGCCCCTGAAGCGAGACACAGGAAACAGAAATACTGCAAAATAAGAATAATAACGCAACTGAACGAGACGAAATAACGTTATAACATTTGGTTTCGTCTCATTTTGGTAAACGAAGATGAAGAGACATTTTAGCATAGTTTTTATTTGGTAAACCACATTTAGTCTTGTTTTTTTCGTCAACAATATTGCATTATACATTTAATTATAGTCATCGTCACATGACCAGCATTTTCGTTGCGTCTCGTCTCGTGATAAAGGTTCGTTGACGATGCTATTTAGTCATAATTTTCGTTGACGAAAGCAACACTACTCCTTCAGGCAATTTAGAGTCACCAGTCAACCTAAGCTGCATGTCTTTGGACTGTGGGAGGAAGCCAGAGTACCTGGAGGCACAGGGAGAACATGCAAACTCTGCACAGAAAGGCCCCGGGTTGGCCGGAACCTTTTTGCTGTGAGGCAACAGCATGAATCACTGTGCTGCTGTGCCACCTCTGAATCACATTTAGTAGAAATAAACATTACCTTAGAAATGTTTCATGTTCATTATTATATAAGGGGAGTATGAACATTTTATTTCAGTCTTGTCAAAGTCAACTGAAGTCAAATCAAGTGAGTGGAAATCCAAATGGTCACTGATGTGTTACAGCAATCTTTGCCTTCGCTGGGGTGTGTCAGTTATTCTCTCACACAAACCTTCCAGCCCCATTACAGCACAAACACACATTCAGGTAAAATCACTTCTTTTCCATCTTTTTAAAAATACTCCACATCACTCCAATAATGCTGATAATGATCTATCTTGGCAAGGAGAACTCTGTTTGTGTGGCTTGCAAAAAGGAAGGGCAGGGAGAAAAATATTTGAAGCAAGTCATCTTGGGAGGCAGTTGAAATAATTGGTGCTGGGCACAGGCTCTGGTGCCATGTGGTTTTGTTATTGAGCCTTGCTGGCTGTGACACAAAGACAGCCAGGCAGGCAGGAAGATAGGAAGGCAGCCGGCGATGATTATGTTTGTGGGAAGGTGAATGTTTACACACTGGCCACTCACGTGGAGCCCATGTGCTCACTCAGAAATGCAAGCTCATCTGCCAGTCACATCAAAGGAGGGA